AACTCTTGCGGTAATATGAATAGGAAGGAGAATTTACACACTTGCCTACTCACTACCTCCCAGTAGGTGGTGCACAAGAAAGAATCACAGCCACTGACTTAAAACACACAAGAGCACTACAGCGTCAGAGTTGACTATCAGATAGGGAAATAGTAAGATATGCTTTCAATGCTTAGAAAGTCTGATTTATCCTTTTTATTAGAAAAATCTATATAAACTCATAATGTCAAATAATACACAAGTGGCCTGACAGCAGCAGTGGCAGCAGCACTTTTGCCCACCACCAATCTCATGAGCATGCCCCTCACCCAGATTGTAACCTCTAGTTCCTTGGAAGACAGCTGTCTTTATTTCTTAGGACAGGGAAATTCAGGACAAATGTTTTCAAGAATATAAAAAGTAATGCTGAAAGGACAAAATAGCTTCTGATTACCATAATGTGATAATGAAATGTCAAACATTATTACATCATCATCATTAATGTAAATAGTTGAAGTAAGTTTGTATAAGGGCCTAAGTCTATCAGCATTCCTCTCATGAACCACAGTTTCTGGCCTCCACGCCAGTGGAGATTCGGCTTTCTACTATAGAGGTAGTCGCATTTAAATTAGACTCTGTTTCCTTCTCCAGTCCTATTTTGTTGAAGTCAATTTTAACAACAAAGGTAAAAAACCACTTTTGAAGACTATTATGGGAAACACATGAACAATTTAGTACTCAAAAACCAAAAGCTTGCTTCTCTGGCTTGTTTCATCTTAAACCTGGAAGCATCTCATTTGAAACGGGTTTTTTTTCAAAGCCAATTGTGAAGAGTGAAGCTTATTGTCTACCCTTCCAGACACTGCTGAGAAGGGGAAAAACAGATTCTTCCACATTTTATGTCAGATAAACCTAACATTTTATTAAATATGTCATAACTAGCCCCATTTATAACTTACAACTAGTAATGGTCATGAAAAATTTCTGTGAAAATATAAAAAGGAATAAAAAGCTTCACAAGATTAAAGCCTAAGGTGATTGTTCATATGCAACAGATTTAAAGCAAAGTACCAGGACCTGGGTGTGGTGGCTGATGCCTGTAATCCCAGAACTTTGGGAGGCTGAGGCGGGTGGATTACCTCAGGTCAGGAGTTCGAGACCAGCATGGCTAACATGGTGAAACCCCATCTCTACTAAAAATACAAAAAAAAAAAAAAAAAATTAGCCAGGAATGGTGGTGTGTGCCTGTAATCCCAGCTACTTGGGCAGCTGAGGCAAGAGAATTGCTTGAACCCAAGGAGGCAGAGGTTGCAGGGAGCCGAGATTGTGCCACTGTACTCCAGCCAGGGCGACAGAGCAGAGCAGGACTCCGCCTCATTCACAAATAAATAAATAAAGCAAAGTAATAGGGATGAACCTACCCTGCTCCTTCCATGTGAGCTCTGGATCCCATCCTGCCTTCTAAGCAAATTCACTGTACCAGTTATTCCTTTCTGCTATGTACTGTCCTGTTTCCTCTCCACTAAATATAGTCTGTAAGCATTCAAACATCCTAGAGTCTCTACTGTCTTAAAATATTCCCTAAATCCTATTTCCCTTTCCAGATGGTGCCTCTCTCATGTCTACACATGCTGCTATGACTTTTTTCAATTTCCATATGCCACTTAACCCAGCGTAGTCAAGATTTCACCTCAGTTCCCCAACACAAACAGCTCCCAGTAATCTTCATGCTACTAGACACAGCAGACTCTACCTCTTACTACCTATTCAGTCAATTCTTTGTGAAAATACCCTGTGGCTTCAGCTACTATAATACCATACTTGTTTTTTTTTTTTTTTTCTCTCTCTCTCGCTCTCTTTCTCGCTCTCTCTCTCCAGATATTCTTTTTTCCTTTTCCTTTGGATCTTCAGCCTAACCTTTATATATTTATGTTCCCAGATCTTATTAGTGTCTTCCCTCCTGACCAAATACTCCCTCCTATGGCTTCAAATGCCAGCTATAGCCTTACAACTTCCACATTTATTTATTGTCAGTTCTGAACCCTCTTCTAAGCTCCAGATCTTTTAGTCAAAATGTCCAAAACAAAAATCACAATCTTCCTAAGCTCCACCAAAACCCCTATGCCTCAGTAAATGGCACCACTGTTCACTCATTTACTGATGCCAGAAACCTGAGAACCACTCCTCTTCAATGTAATTTAGAGCAAATTATCTCAATTTCATCTCCAAAATGTATCTCAAACCCATCCAGTTCTCTCCACCTGTACTGCCCATCCTAGTTCACCCTTATTTCAAATACAGAGCTAGACTTCATCTTAACTGTTCATCTTCCCACTTTCTCTCTTGCCTCCTCCAATCCATCCTCCATACAGAAGCCACAGTGATCATTTGAAAATACATATCCAATCACATGACTGCCTGCATAGACACTTCAGTGAACGAGTATCAGTGAATCTTCAAACTGACAGGTGAAAAGCTGTTAGAGAATAGAATAGTCACATGGTGACAAAGCACTGTCCTACAAATTACTAATTCAGAGGTTAAAATGTGCCTTCACAAGGAGGACATACAGTGGTTACCACTTAACCAAATGAGCAGACTTAGCATCACTAACAGTAGGATGTCCTGACATTATAGGCCTCCTGATCTAATAAAAACAAAGTTTACAACATCACCTATGAAGTATTCTCACTAAAAACACTTAACTTATGTCTAACTATGCTGTCACTCTGTTGCATGTAGCTTCCATTTTACAGGAAATGTATAGAGGAAAAAGTTAAATGTTTATGTAAGTAAACAATTAGATAAATCCAGAATGTAGATCATTCCTTAAGACAAATGGCCTGGACTCTTCAATATGTCAATGAAAAGAAAAGGCAGGGAAGACATGAAAACTGCTGTACATTAACAGAGACTACAAAGACTTAAATGACCAAATGTAATGCATTAATCTCTATGGAATCCTGACTTTACAAGTTATATACATATATATTTATTTATATATACACACAGATTTTTGAAAAAATTATGAAAATATGAATAAAGTTTATTGACTAATGTGATTAATTTATTTCAGTAATAAGGGAACAGAGATTATGTAAAAGAGTGTCCTTGGTCAAAGGAGGTATGTGCTGAATTACCTAGTGGTTAGGTGTTATGATGTCTGCAACCTATTTTGAATGACTTTGTCAAAAAAGAAGAAAATGATACCTATATAAAGTGAGAATGATAAAGTAAATATCATAAATGATATGATTGTTTGAGTAAAAGGTACATGGATGTTCATTGTATTTTTCAACTTAAAGTGAGCTTTAAGTGTATTTTTCACTCAACAGCGAGCTTGCACATTCTCAAAATAAATTGTATAGTAACAAAAAATATCCTTCAATGACTACTCATCACTCAGGATAAAGTCTAAAATCCTCCCGTGATCCACAAGGTCCTACAGGGCCTGGCCCCTTCCTACCTCTCCAGCTTTCTCTATCTCTCACTCACTTTACTGCAGTGACATGGTCTTAGCTCATATACATCCTTCAAGTCTCCACTGAAATATCACTCCCTTGAGTGCCCCAGGACTAGTATATGAAGGGATGAGTACAGCTGAGGGAGACCTGGGGGAAAAGTCCTGGAGGGACAAAAAGGGGAATGGATTATGTAGGAGTGAGGTAGAAAGAGGGCAATTTTCAGGACTAAGAACAGGATGGGATGGAGTATCTTGCAGGGAGGCAGAAACGACGATGAACTGGATGAATTACAACATGGTTGAAGATATTAGTATCTTCTATTAAACCTCCATTATAAGTTTTCATTTCTTCCTATAATGTAGCTCAATCATAATGTGATTCCACTTAAATATTATGTGTGCACTTATATAATGTATAAAATCTGCACCAAATAGTAACTTTTATGACAATAAAGATTAGGGCAGTTTTACTTATCATCACATCCCAACACCTAGCAAACAGTAAGTGCTGGATAAACATTGGCCTAATGGGTGAATATCCTGTAATATTTGGCTTCAAAGGAATGCAATTTTAGTCCAAATGCTACTTAACTCTAGTAAATGTCCACTAAAGTTGAGATATTTAAAATGGCTATTATATGTAGTTATAGAGCTGATTACTTAGATGACTAAGGTTAACGAGCATTTTTTTCACCATATTTATTGAATGTAATCATATTCATCTGTCATTTTTAGGTATTCTTTACCTCCATATTTTTCTATCTATAAAAACTAAAATTAAGGAACAAAATATTTCACATTAATAACTTTATGTCAAGCTCTGATTGTTATATCGGTAGGCTGCAGCATGGCTCTTAAAGCTAGGTACATAAGTTTAGAACCAAACACATCAGGAATCCTGACACAGAAAGCATAGCATTTGCTGGTTGCCATTTGTTAAGAGATGGAGCAGGTGAGAAAATGTAGACTGGTTGAATACAAATCCATCTCCTCTATTAAAATCATACAAACAATAACTACTAGAAGAATAACTCTGCTGTTAAGAATAACTGTGGCAGCTGGGCACAGTGACTCATGCCTGTAATCCCAGAACTTTGGGAGGCCAAGGCAGGTGGATCATGAGGTCAGGAGATCGAGACCATCCTGGCCAACATGGTGAAACCCTGTCTTTACTAAAAATACAAAAATTAGCTAGGCGTGGTGGCAGGCACCTGTAATACCACTACCTGGGAGGCTGAAGCAGAAGAATAGCTTGAACCTGGGAGGCAGAGGTTGCAGTGAGCCAAGATCGCACTACTGCACTCCAACCTGCCAACAGAGCCAAACTTTGTCTCAAAAAAAAAAAAAAAAAAAAAGAATAACTATGGCTATCTTGACACAGACAGTGTATATTTAAAATTAATAAAGAAGATGATTTGTTATTTGACAATCCATATGATCACCAATATAAAAATGTAGCTCTATTATATTTTCAGACTCCATACAGCTAAATGATAAGTAAATTTTGTCTAGAACTCAAGGACAATTGAATAAACTGATAAATACAACCATAGTTTACCTGTATGGTTGGTAAAAACACACAGACTTAGGTGTTTGGATAATTTCTCTCGGTCTTGATGATAATCACAACCAAAGTTGACAAGTCTAAGAATATAAAGAATAAGAAGTTCATTTAAAAATACATCCCTTCATAAAGGATGTGAGTAACCACTAAATAATACACCTAGAGAAGCAGAAACACATTCCCCAGAAATTTAAGTAGATAATTTTTTTTGGTTAATAAATTCTGTAGTTTTTTCAAAATACATGGTATATATATATATGGCATCAGCCTGGTAGTAAGAAAAAAAATATTACTTTCATCTTACATTTTTATAAATTTTCTAATATAGAGTAATGCATATACTAGTTTCAAAATAAGCACAACTAAATGTTCATATATGATAAAGTAAAGCTAGTGAAATACTTAACAGTTCAGGATTATCATTACTCTAATTTAGGAAGATTTTCATTTCTTCTACATATTGATGGCCTTATGCTTATTTTTTCAGAAGCATCTCATGTTTTTGCTACATGTAAAATAGAGTGGAAAAGGAAAAAACCTTGTCTTTTGTGCAAAAAGGAGAACAGAAAAAAGCCAACTCAGCTGAGCTACAAGTAGATTGAGCTCTGACATCCTCTTTGATGGCAACAAAAAGTGTTTTGATGTTTGCTTCTCAATATAGCTCTCTCTGACCCAATGAATCCTTCTATTTAATCATAGGGAGAAGAGTATATCCATACATCAAAATAAATGGAGATGCACTACAGAAATAAATGGCTAAGAAAATCAATACAATTGACTTTATATATAAAATTCTGGGTTCATGTTTGATAAAGTTGTTTATATTTGCTATGGAGAATGGGAATACAAAAAAAGATGTACGCAGAATATCAAACTCTTATCTGCATAAAGTAGGAATAAATATAATCATTTTGCCCACAAGTATCTATAAAAATTAGTAACGCCCTATGAATAACTTACTTAAATCCTGAGTTGCTTAATGATATGTCCAAGGGTACTTCAAACTGTCAAAAACAAAAAAAATCAGAAGTAAGTGATGACACTTCTGAAAACCAGAGCAGACCCAAGTAAACCAGAAAAAATGTTGTGCTTACCTAATAATAAAAAGCCCATTTAACCATTATTATCTTCAGAAGTTACACTCCAAATCCATTGGACAGAAAGTCCACTGAGAATACTCTGAAGTTTATATACAATCATGAGCTTGATGTATATTTATTTCTTAAAGGGCTAATGCTTGACAAACATTGTCTTATATTTGAATATCAAAAACAAGTTGTACAATAGGCCAATTGGAAGCAACCACCTTTTACAAGACACAGATGACAGTGTAAGGAAAGAAGGATTGTGTGTCCTTAGATGTCCTTAGAAGGAGAGCAGATGAGCCAACAGAAGGGGCAGGAAGGGTAAGTGCAATTCTTCCAATGGCGTAACAATCTGTATTAGATAGCAACATTGGTCCTGGTCAAGAAGAATAGGCCAGGCACTGTGGCTCATACTTTGGGAGGTCAAAGTGGGTGGACTGCTTGAGGTCAAGAGTTTGAGACCAGCCTGGCTCACATGGTAAAACTCTGTCTCTACTAAAACACAAAAATTAATTGGGTGTAGAAGCGGGCACCTGTAATCCCAGCTACTAGGGAGGCTGAGGCAGAGGAATTGCTTGAACCTAGGAAGGGGAGGTTGCAGTGAGCAGAGACCATGCGACTGCACTCCAGCCTGGGCAACAGAGCGAGACTCCATCTCAAAAGAAACAAAAACAAACAAAACAAACAAAAAAAAAACGTACTGTCCATCGCAAAGATATTAATGACTCCGCACCACAATGCTACCTTTTTTTATTTTTTTAATTCAAATTCTTAAAATTTAAATTTTCCTATTTTTAAAAGTCTTTTTTCACTGATGCAACACAATGCTAACATTCTAAATAGCTTTTTCAGGGGTAATACTAGATTTTGGTTAAACTATACATTCTCATTAACTTTTCTCTTTATTCTCAAATCCACCATCCTCACAAGTCCTTTTGGGTCAAATAAAGTGCAACCCCTTAAAGCTATCACTTACAGACCACACCAATTATTGGACTGGTGCAAAAGTAATTGTAGTTCTTCCCATTATTTTGAATAATTAAAAATCACAATTACTTTTGCACCAACCTAGTATCTTCTACTACTAATCCCCACTCATACGTGTGTTTCTTTGATGTAGAGAATTCAGCTAGCGGACATTTCTGGTGCTGAAGCCTGGAAACGGCAAGAACTATTTTACTTGCTCATACAAGTCATTAACACAACCACCAGGAATGCTAAAGTGCTGTTTATGATAACAAAAGAGTAATGTATCATAACATTTCCTGTAGTGTGATCATTTTCTGAACTTACCATTAAGTTGTAGCTCTCATCAGCATAAAACTGGATACATTTTAAGATACTCTTTGATTTCTAAAACAGTAAACAGAATGACATATTAAAAAACACTAGGAAAAAAAAGGAAGCAGTCAAGAAGCAAACAATAATGAAAATCTTTTCATTATATTTAAAACTTCACTGACAATTTCCATCAATGAAAATATAGTGATTAATGAACTACAGTAATGACAATGTCAAAATCAAATTGTTCTTATAAAAAGTGCTGGCCGGGCGCGGTGGCTCAAGCCTGTAATCCCAGCACTTTGGGAGGCCGAGGTGGGTGGATCACGAGGTCAAGAGATCAAGACCATCCTGGCCAACATGGTGAAACCCCGTCTCTACTAAAAATACAAAAAATTAGCTGGGCATGGTGGTGCCTGCCTGTAATCCCAGCGACTCAGGAGGCTGAGGCAGGAGAATTGCCTGAACCCAGGAGGCGGAGGTTGCGGTGAGCCGAGATCGCGCCATTGCACTCCAGCCTGGGTAACATGAGTGAAACTCCGTCTCAAAAAAAAAAAAAAAAAAAAAAAGTGCTGGGGCCAGGCACTATGACTCATGCCTGTAATCTATGTTTTAGGAGCCTGAGGCAGGAGGATCACTTGAGCCCAGGAATTCAAGGCTGCAGTGAGCTATGATCACACCACTGCACTCCAGCCTCAGCAACAGAGTAAGATCTTATCTCTAAAAAAATAAAAAGAGTGGCTACAAACTAGTTATTTTTTACCTTCAGGTCAATGTAGTATAATCTCTGTTCTGACATATCCCACTGAGCCCAAACGAAATCCTCGGCTATTCTGTCTCTTGGGAGATGGCCAGAATTTTTAATCACCTAAAAATGCAAAAAAAAAAAAAAAAGTATGAATTAATAACTTTTAAAGGACAGCATATCTGGAATTCATAATTATTTTCCATGTCAACCTTTATGATACATGTAAATATTTCCACAGTTCACTGTTAGAAGCTCTCCACCCCTAGCACACACAGTCTTTCCAGAAATGTCTTAAGACATATTTCATTGCCTCCTCCTCTTCCCACTCTATAATATTTAATTTTATTCTTTTTTTTTTTTTTGAGACGGAGTTTCGCTCTTGTTGCCCAGGCTGGAGTGCAATGGCGCGATCTCGGCTCACCGCAACCTCCGCCTCCTGGGTTCAGGCAATTCTCCTGCTTCAGCCTCCTGAGTAGCTGGGATTACAGGCACGCACCACCATGCCCAGCTAATTTTTTGTAGTTTTTTAGTAGAGACGGGGTTTCACCGTGTTGACCAGGATGGTCTTGATCTCTTGACCTTGTGATCCGCCCGCCTCGGCCTCCCAAAGTGCTGGGATTACAGGCGTGAGCCACCACGCCTGGCATTAATTTTATTCTTGTTCTTAGTTTAGCAGACAGGCTGAGGTTGCTAAAGGCAAGACCACACCTCCCACAAATCAATAGCTGCATTAATAGAAGATTCAGAACTTACTGTTCTGTACCTAACTCTCTCAAGTCAAACCTCTGCAGACAAGAACCCTCCACTACCAAAGATAGAGGCTGTGATGTCAAGAAAAAGCTCAGGCTTGGCAGTGGTAAGTAATAGACAATGACCCCACTTTGGCCATAAACCAACCATGCAGCTTTGGGCATGCCTCTCACCTTTATGTCTTCCATGATGAATATGATGTTATTGCCTATCTCTCAGCAATACTTAACTACTCATTCATCAAGACCTGACTTACACATTGTGTTCCATACAAAGCCTTCCATCCCATCCCCCAGATGTTGTAGTATAATCTTCACCTGTTTTCCTATGATGCACTGGAATGCTTCTATGACAATTACATTTTAATTAATGAGCATACACTCTTCTACAGCACGTTTCTATTACCAATTCCCTGATTATTTCTAGCATGTAACAGTGCTCAAGGAATGTTTTTTCAGAAGGCAGAAAATGGACCAGGCATGGCTCATGCCTGTAATCCCAGCACTTTGGGAGGCCGAGGCAGGTGGATCACCTAAGGTCAGGAGTTCGAGACCAGCCTGGCCAACATGGTGAAACCCCATCTCTACTAAAAAAAATACAAAAATTAACCAGGCATATTGGCGCATACCTGTAATCCCAGCTACTTGGGAGGCTGAGGCAGGAGAATCACTTGAACCTGGAAGGCAGAGGTTGCAGTGAGCCAAGATCACGCCACTGCACTCTAGCCTGGGTGACAGAGCAAGACTCCATCTCAAAAAAAAAAAAAAAAAAAATAGAGGCAGAAAATGAAATAAGGTGTGCAAGAGTAAATTGCCAAAGATATTACAGGTATAAAACATCTGTTTACTAAGTAACAAAGTCAGAACTATAGAACTTTAAAATAAGGAAATTCTAGAAACCATCCAATTCAATCCCTTAACAGGTAAGAAAACTGAGGCCCAGAGCAGTTAGTTAGGCTGCATAGTTAGTTCAGAAAGGTCTGGAATCCATGTCCTGGAAGCCTCTCATTGCCCTTTCAGTGCATCAACTGGCCTCAAAATAATTTAACAGAAGCAGTTAAAAATTATTGTTCTTCAAAATGCTTATTAACCAAAAGTAACCCACATTGAGGTAGATGAGTAAGGAATAAAGACAGGTTGGGGTAGAAGAAGTAAGAGAAAAAAGGAAACACCATAATGGTTGTATTCAAGCCTAAACCCTCCCTAATCCTAACAGGGATTTTTCCACTCAGGCTAACTTGCAACTTGATGGAGCCATGTGGCATAAAGAGATGTAAACCACTATTTCCTGCCTGCCCTGTCCATTATAGTCAGACAAGAGGAAAGTGATGCCAGAGAAAAGATCCAAGAGGACCTGTCTGTCTCTAAACCTTGGACAATCATTTTTTTGAAATTTGTTGAGCTGCAGTAGATTTGAGAACAGTTCCAGATAAAGGTATACACTAACAAGAACATGAATGTCCGACTGTGGCATAACCAGGTTCAAATCTCAATTTTGTTCCTCTCTAGAGTCACCTCATCTCTGTGAATCCTGGTTGCTATCTTCTCTGTAAAAATAGGGATAAGCATAATACCATGTCTATCATGCAGGGATGTTGTGAAGAATATGTGGAATTGCATATACTTTGCAACATCCCTGCATTATAAAGATGTTATTATACTTATGCTGTATGAAGCTGTCATCTAAGCCTTTAAGAATGAGTGCAGAAGTACTTCTTGGAAGAACACATTTGAATTAAGGAATGCTAAAGCTGCACCATCCTGAATGGCAGAATCTTTTCTGGGCTGCTGACAGGTGTCCCCTCCATTGCCAGTGTGTGTCTGTTTCTCCCCTCTCCCCTCTCAAGCCCTCTTCTAATCAGCCAGTCCCCTGGTCTATGCTCATTCCCAGTTACTGACCCCAACTTGCTTATTTAACTCTTCTCAACTCTGATCACTGGCTTTGGGATTCAGCCTCTATCTTTCCTCTGGAGCTTGACCCTCTTCTGACCCTTGGCCCACGTCTGTCATTGTGCTCCCATCCACTTAGCCCCTGCGGGACAATGGTAGCCCAGAACTCTAGCGACACACTTTCTCCTGGCAATTTTCCAGGCAGGCTTCTTGATTTGAGTCTTTCAATAGCTGATACACAATTAATAAGTGCCATTTTCTGTTTCAATTGTTCATTTAACTTTACAATCTTCAGAGAAATATTAAGATCTTCACAATTTTGATGCAGACTAAATATTGAAGAAAATCATTTTTAATATCAATAACATATTAAGATCCTAGGCAAATTATCAAGAAAAAGACAACCCAGTAGAAAAATAGATAAGGATACAACTAAACAATTTTCAAAAAAGCAAATCAAATAGCCAACAAGCTTTGGAGAAGATGCTGAAATGCATTAATATTAAGGGAGATACAGACTAAGATAATAAGCTATCAACTTACACTCATCAAATTGGAAATTTTTTAAAAGGTAAATATACCTTTTCATGATAAGAATTGAGGGAACACGTACTCTTAAATTTTGCTTATAAAATTGTCAATTGTTAGAAGTTTTTTAGAAAGCAATCTGGAAAAAATCTGTTGGAATTTATTAAATGTATGTACCTATCAAACCAACAATCCATCCCTGAAATATAGCTCAAAGAAATATATGTACCAATACATAAGGCTATAGGAATAAAAAATTTTGAGATGATTTATAATTCAAAAACAAAAACAAAAAATTGGCAATTTTGTGAATGTCTATCCACACCAGGGACTATTATCTACTTCTAAAGAGACTAAATTGGAGCTATTCTAGTTTTATTTGTAGGTAATTCCACAAAGCTGAATGAGTAAGAAATGAATAATAAAATCCTGGGTGGGTCAGAGGTGGGGGTAGGAGATGACTATTAGTATGGAGAAAAGTATGCAAGGATACATACCAGGTTGTGAACAAAAGAGATTTTTTTAAAAAGTACATGTGGAAGACAAGAAAAAAAAATTACACTCAATGAAATCCATTTATAGTATGATATACAGTATGGTTTTATACATGGTATACATATATAGTACGATCCCATTATATGAATATATGTACAGATAAAAATTAGAATAAATAACCAGTTAGTTATATCTCTATTTTAGTAACCCATAGAGATACTCCTGATCTCTTTTTACCTGCTAAGGAAAAGCAAACATAAAAGCAGCAGGTAAATGTATTATGATGCTACTTTAGTAAAAACAATTAAATCCCCACATACATGCATCTAACCTTGCATAGGTTTGCATGAGCAAGGTAAAAGCTGTGGAAAGACTCATACAGGCTACCTCAGGATACTGAGATTGAGGGTTGAGGTAGAGAAAAGGGGGATAATTAACTTCATGTATATTTGTAGCATTTTACACATTAAAAGAAAAAGACTTCAAAAGACATCAAATGAAGAAATAATCATGTATCAGTAACATTATCTTTAACAATCTAGAAATGTAGTTCTTTGTAGAAAAAACTATGAAGTAAAAAGATTTTCAAATCTTTACCACTCTATTTCCATCTTCTTGGGCGACATGGACACGAAATTTTTCAATATCTTAAAAAAAAAAAAAAAAGATAATTTAACCTTAAGGAAATATGAGTACTATTTTTACGTAACACTTGTAAAAACATTGTTATAAAAGCAATGCAGGGCTGGGCACAGTGGATCATGCCTGTAATCCCAGCACTTTTGGAGGCTGAGGTGGGCGAATCATGAGGTCAGGAGATCGAGACCATCTTGGTCATGATGAAACCCCATCTCTATTAAAATACAAAAAATTAGCTGGGCATGGTGGCATGTGCCTGTAGGAACAGCTCAGGAAGCTGAGGCAGGGGAATCGCTTGAACCCGAGAGACAGAGGTTGCAGTGAGCCGAGATTGTGCCACTGCACGCCAGCCTGGCGACAGAGCAAGACTCCATCTCAAAAAAAAAAAAAAAAAAAAAAAAAGCAATGCACATTGAACAACTGGCCACAAACAATATTATTACAAACTGTAATCTCACAATAGAGGTTCAAAAACTTCCACTTTTCTCTATTCTCCCTTTACAGTTAATTTCAAGTCCTGCATTTATTCTGCTCCTCAATATCAACAATACATGAAGCATTTAGCTCTCCTGCTTCCCTGGGCTCCCTCAACAAGTACTTGACTCCCCTATACCATCAGTCTTGTATAGAGCTAACAAGGGCTTACATGGCAGAGTTTATCTTCAATTTCCAAATCCCAAACACTTGTTTGTATGAACATACCAGACAGAAAACTCATCATACGAGACATTCTGGGGAAGCATTTTAATAGGGGTCAATTTCATATGAACAAAACCCTGAACACTAAAGTCAATCTGTGTAGATGGTCCCTTTCTAACAGTAACAATTTAAATTCAGCCATATTTACCTTCTGCTGATTCGAGTTACCAAACTGAACAAGAGCTTAGAGACCGAACACGGCCTTGCTCCTCAAGCCTGTCCTTCCAACTATAAACACTATAAACTAGAAGTTTCATCTTGTAATGTGAAAGACCACCAGTAAATTTTGTCCTTCCTTCCCCTCTCCTAACTTGAAATCATCATGGAAGGACATAACCTTTTACATCCTAAACTTACTTGCCTCTACCTGAATTTGTCTAAGTTAGTGTGCATCCTCAAGTTCTGCCATGGGATTCTTCTAGCTACTTCCCCTCTCTCCATCCAAACATCTCTTTTATACTATAGTTATCCACTGTGACAGACATCCAAAAGACAAAATGAACTAAAGACGACAAAAATGACCTGTGCAAATGTTCTACAAACATTCTACCATAGGACAAAACTGCAAATCCAGGTATGCAAGAGCCCATCATCCCCAGGATGAAAAAGCTGAGCAGAACCAAAGGGAACAACACTTGGGGGCAAAAGGAAAAGCCCTTCCCAAGGAATTCCAGGTCACATATGGACATGAAAGGTCAGTGGACCCTTGACAATGGCAAATGGATATCTAGAAGATTCAATCATGTCCCATGCTGGGAGGCCATATGCCATTCATGAAATCCCCACATTCCACCTAAAGATACACTTACATTTCTCTTCTGAAATCAGTAACAGATGGTTCTCTGGAAGAGGATGACTTTCAACATGTGGGTACAGAAACTGTAAAAAAAGAAATTAATCATAATTATAAACAAGTATCTTGCTCGAACAAGTATTTCCAAAATTGTGTTTGATGACTGTACTATTACATATCATTGAAGAAACGGAATCACAGAAGAGTTTAGGGGAATCACCTATACACACACACGTATCGCAGATCAAAGCAAGCAAGAAAAGGAAACACTTTCAGGACCTCAGTTTTCCAGAGGGAAACTGGTTTCAAGTACAACACTATCTTCACTTATTTAAATAGTAAGGTTACTGGCAAGGCACAGTGGCTCACACCTGTAACCCCAACACTTTGAAGAAGTCAAGACAGGTGGATCACTTCACCTCAGGAGTTCAAGACCAGCCTGCGCAACATGGCAAGTTCCCGTCTCTACAAAAAAATATAAAAGCTTAGCCAAGTGTGATGGCATGTGTCTGTAGTCCCAAATACTCAGGAGGTTGAGGTGGGCGTATCACTTGAGCCTAGGAGGTGGAAGTTGCAGTGAGCCAAGATCATGCCACTACGCTGTAGCCTGAGTGATAGAATGAGACTCTGTCTAAAAATAAATAAAGTAAAATAAACAGTGATGCTGAAGCTGAAGTTATTTCTAGGGATGGTACTTCCTATTTGGAATATATGATTCTGAAACCAATCAAAAACAACGCAAACAACATTTATACAGAATGTTCTATTTCACACACACACACACACACACACACACCAGTCAATATAGTTGTTGTGCAACTCAACCTAGTATATAACTTGAGAGCCAAGTAAACATATTCCCCACAAGAACTTCCAAAGTCCCACATCCAAGAAACAAAGTGTAATATAACCAGAACATGTCAAGAAAGAACAGTGAGTCATGGTGTCACATGGGTTGATGATTTACAAGCCTAAAAGCATAGAACGACTGTCACTGGGAAGAAAAGGCTTAAACCCACCCCATTTCTCTTTCTCTGTGCTCTCCCATTTGAACCCACCACTATTTTTCTATCTACAGGACAAAGTAGGCTGCCAGTAACCAAGTCCTGGACCCTGTCAGCTGTAACAGTGAGGAAAAATTGGTCACAGGATGACTGAAAAGGGCAACTGTAAATAAGCTGTTTCATTTTGTGGCATGAAAGACCAGAGAATTTTGTTCTTTTCCTTACCCAAAGCTTGAAAGTAATATGAAAGGGCATAACTTTTGTGTCCCAATCTCCCAATCATTAGTCTCACTAAAATTTAGGATGATTTTTTTATTACTTCCTAGTGTCCTAACTTTTTATAATATCAGATTAAAAATAGGACTAGTCAACTTTTGGAACATTTATAGTTGAGTCCCCTTTTAGAAATGAAAAGCAAAACACATGCATCACAGCAATAAAGTCAAAATTATAAAATAGCAATGAAGAATTCAGCTACAAAAATAATACAATAATTATCTCATGATTTGTAAAATCTCACACATTAAACAAGATACTTTTTATACTAGAGTTGAGGAAAAGCAGAGATGAATGACACTACATATACGACGGAAGAACAAATGTTCAGTGCCTCAAATATGGAGATGCTCCTACTCCAGGTCTACAGGGGTGTCCAGGGCATGCCTGCTTAGGAACGTGACATGGATTGAGGTGCTGAAGAGGTGTAACTGCCAACCTCTAAACCTCTACCTGGTCTTCCTGTGACAATCAGGGAGAATGTTATTTTAAAAGTCCCATTTAGGTAGGTGTTTTTTTTTTCTTTCTATTGTAAGGCGGTCCTAGAGTAAGGCCTGGAAATCAAAAACAGACAGGCTTCAGACACAGCTCTACAAAAGCATTCAAGGTGGCTTTTTGTATTTTAACTAGGACTCTATGGAGATTATATTTCCTTAGGAAAATTTATCTTCACAAATATGGAGCTGGACTTCGAATGAATATTGGTCTTTGGAAATGTGTGGTCTAGGTGTGTAGAGGGTGTGTAATTACCACTGGAACTATCTGGAAGATACACCTCATGCTGGAAGGGAACACCCAAAGGGTCCTGGATTGGGATCCAAGTCCCACCTGCCACCGTCCTGCTGAAGCTCCTCTGTGTAGGTGGTCACAACTACACATGCAGAGTTAGAGAAATGTGCTACTGGAGATCACCATGGATGTTTTTGTAAGGAAAAGGAAATAGATTCCAGGGCAAGACCAACTCAATGAACAGTAAATGTTATTTCTCTAGAAGGCGAAGATGGGTATTTGTCACTGGGGTTTGGAGGAATTTCTCTCTCCAGAGGCATAGACATGGGAGCAGGAGGCAGGGTTAAGAACTGAGATGGGTCCAAAGAATGGGTACAGGTTTTACTTTATTTGAGTGGGGATTTTTTCTTTGGCCTATAGATGTTGTCCTGTTCCACATACTTTTAACTCTTTTTTTGACTTGGAGTTTCGTTCTGTTGCCCAGGCTGACATGCAATGGCATGATCTTGACTTACTGCAACTCCACCTACCGGGTTTCAAGTAATTCTCCTGCCTCAGCCTCTAGAGAAGCTGGGATTACAGGAGCATATTACCACGCATGGCTAATTTTTATACTTTAAGTAGAGATGGGGTTTCTCCATGTTGGCCAGGCTGGTCTCAAACTCCTGAGCTCAGGCAATCCACCCGCCTTGGCCTCCCAAAGTGCTAAGATTACAGGCATGAGCCACTGCACCCAGCTACTTTTAACTTTTTAAAATTGAATTCACACAATATAAAATTTAACATTTTAACCATTTATATATATATGTAGTTTTTAATATATTCACAGTGTATACAACCACTTGCTTTTAAAACTTTTCCCCTTTCTATGCTCCAATTGCCTTTAGTTACCCCAATCCTTCAGTCATGTCTCCAGCATCTATATAGTCCTAACTAGAGATGCTGAGGAAGTCAAAGAGCAGACCAGAAAAGGGAAGTGTGCTCTGTCCCCTAGCTGCCCCCACACTGATGACAGTGTAGACAGAGTAGCTACCTGAGGTAGCAGAACGTAGTTTGGGAGCTTCAGGCCAGGCCCCTGTCTGGAACTGAGAAGTGACCCACAGTACAATCAGGAATAGTGGGGAAATGTGCAGCTGAAAGGACTGGCTGACAGTGGCAGACCCTGAGCAGAGAGAGACAACCTTCTCTCCTAACCCACCGGAATAGGGAGGCCCATGGGCTGGAGGCTGGTAGTAGCTTGGGAGACAAAGAGGTAGATACTTTGGGTGGTACAAATTGACTCCAGCTAGACCAAAAGAAATATTTTGACTCTGTAACAAAATGTAAAATTAGACAAAAGGAAATTATGCTGCAGCACTGCATGAACATATACTTTAGATTCAAATTATTTTCAGTAGTTAAGTTTTGTAAAGTCACCACAAATGTTGTATACCGAATACTGAACCATCGTTCCTAGGGAAAATACAAAGGGAGTTGATCATAGTCCTGAAAGACACAATCCCCAATGCCATAATCCTAAATACTGAAATCCCGAAAGATCAAAATCCCAAAAATATAATTCTAGAAGAAAATAATTTTAAAAACTATTTAAAAGCTGTACTGACATTTTTAGAAGAATTATCTGAGAAGCAAAACACAAAAGCACACTTCATAGTCCACTTTATACAATAGGCAAATAATAACATATACAGTTTTGAAAGTATAGACACTCGCGTATATTAACTATCCTGTGATCGTGACTTTTGGGACTTTAGACATCAGGGAATTTTATTTCAGGATTTCGACATTCATGATTATGGTGTTCGGGACTGTCTTTTCAGATTATGATCCAAACTCATACAAGGATAAATTCTTGTAAGCCTCTACTCACAATATGTTTGTCAACAGATCAGTATATAACCTTGTTTTGTGTGTTTCTATTTAAAGACACTCCTTAAACTTGTGGCATAGTAACTCATGCCTAAATGAAACTTATCTGACATGTTTTCTCCGTAAGGCATCTGACAGCCTTCATGCACTTAGGAACACTGGACAGTGCCTCAGAGCTATGCCTGGAGGCCATTTAAACAGTGAAATTGCCAGGAAAAAGCACAAAAATTTGAAAGATGGAACTAGGCCATGAAAACAACAGTCGTTTTAGTGTGAGAGCTAAAACAAAAAAAGCAGGGCATTACTGTGTTCAACCTCAATTGCAAATGTGCATGTTGGGTGACAAATTCCTTCACCACTCAGCATACATCTGCAAATAACTAACCAAGTACTATGAGTGTATGATTTAAGGATTACAAACAAATTTTAGGAGTAGGAGAATTTGCAAATATGAAATCTGCAAATAGTGAGTACTGACTATTCCACATTATACATGCAGTTTTTGCATCAACTCATGAAGTTGATAAATTCAGGGATTAAATCATTTAATCATAGGTATTTAATCTGTCAACCACATAAATACATTACATAGACCATTTAAACCTTACTTTAAATGTGTGGGGGTTTTTTGTTTTGTTTTGTTTTGAAATGGGGTGTTGGGGAAATGTGCAGCTGAAAGGACTGGCTGACAATGGAGGACCTCTCTCTTGCTCTGTCTCTCTGTCGCTAAACTGGAGTACAGTGGCATGATCTAGGCTCACTGCAACCTCTGCCTCCTGGTTCAAGCAATTCTCCTGCCTTAGCCCGCCCCCATGTCCCCCGAGTAGCTGGGATTACAGGCACACGTGACCACACCCAGCTAATTTTTGTATTTTTAATAGAGACGGGGTTTTACCATGTTGGCCAGGATGGTTTTAATCTCCTGACTTCGTGATCTGCCCACCTCAGCCTCCCGAAGCACTGGAAATACAGGCGTCACACCTACCTACCCTGGCCTTAAATGTGCTTCAATATTTGAAATTTTATCATGAGAAATTACATTACTATGAAACAAATGATAGTGTAACAGAGTCAGAGGAGCTAGCTTGAGTTAATTTCCATGCTTGCAAAGAAAGAAGGGAAGATACTTCCAGCTGTAGTAGTCTACAAGATTGCTCTGAGGATTAAATATGATAATGATAGTGTGAAAGCACTTTGTAAACACCAATTCTTCTAGGTTGCATGTCTTTTGATTAATGAGTAAGTGACGATTGTATTTACTTACCTGAACCCAAATATAGCTATCCACAGCTTTCAGAACCTTCACGTTGTTAACAGGGTGGATTTCAACCAACAAAGTTAAGCACTTTGATCCTACAGAGAAAAGGTGGCTTTTAGTAACAAAGCTTAGAATATCACATGTTATTTTTTCCAAAGCAAGCAGGAAAAATTTCTGGTAAATCCTACTATAGCGACTATAAACTAATAAAACAATTCTACCATCATAAAGTCCCATGAGAAGACTTAAACTGTACATTTGTTTCCAGTTCCACTCTCTAGGATGTATGGTGGCTCCAGGACCCCAAAAGAACAATCAGCCCAGCAAAGGACCTGCCTTCCACACCCTCAGGAGGCCTGAAGAAGCTGCATTTTATTATGAAAACCACAGGATACTCAAGAAATGCAAATGTGAAAAGGGAAGTCTTTGAAAAGCCCCGGAAACAACAGTAGATACAAGGGAGACAAATTTCAAATTATAATAATTCTGTATTTGTAAAAAAGCATCACATTAAAAACACAAGTGCCTTCTGAAATCAAAGATTCCTGTATATCACTTTGCATTCTCACCAGCAACATATGAGAGGGTCTGACAAACTGGGTTCTACTGGATATCATTTTTCCCAATTATCACAGTTCTATCATTTGCAAAAGCAGACATGTCTAAACTTTCTGAAAATATAAATATACTACTGTATTAGTTATTCTACAGGGGGGTAAAAGGTAATTTTCTTAAAGTTTAACACTTTAAAGTTTGACTTTGACCCTTCTACAAATCCAAGAGGGATTCAGAAAACATCCCAAGGGAGAAATCAATGTGCTGGGAGTGAGGAAGTTGTTTGCACTCACTCCATGCCATTTTTTTTTTTAATAATTTCACTTAATGTTTACCCAATCTCCACCTTTTTCATAAGTTAATACCTATGAAATGTATGTAATCTGTTTCCTCTAGCTTACTGATAACCTAATATTCAATGAACTTCCTGACATTTGTATTCAAATTTGGGTCATACCAGAAAGCTCTACACTTGCAGGTGTTCAAATATTGTAAAACTTTGGTGCATTGTTATTTAGTAGCTGTGATTAGTAATTTTCAAACCTCAAATATAGTGTCTTAGCAAGTTGGATTTTCACTGTATATCATGGTATCTTAATGATGTGTATAATTGCCCTCAATCCCCTTCTCACCCCACCCTCTGCACCTCCCCAACCAGCAACAGGGGCTTATTTCAATTGAGTAAAGCATGGTGCTAATGGACCAGGGTCACAGTTTCAAAACTTGAACAATCCAGTTAGCATCATAGAGGAAGAAATTCTTCCACATTTGCTCATTGCACCAGTAACTCTAGTTAGTAATTTTGCTGGGTGCCTGCCGTTAGCCCTGACAAGAGGCGCAGCAGCCAGCAGCTCAGGGAGAGCACGGCTTTCAGTAAACTGAGCTGGGCCAACGGCACATCCACAGAGAAAACATGATCCCTAACTCGAACCTCAGCCCTGATGCAGATAAATCTAGGCCGGCCACGTGGACAAAGGCTTTGCAGGGCAGAGCTGCACGGCCCAGTGGTTGAAGTAAAAGCCGGCGCCATGTCCGGAGTGCCCAGGCCGAGCTGAAGGAGGGAGAGAAGAACCCGCCACACTGGTCCACTGGAAGCACTGCCACACTCCAAGACATTTTTAGCCTAACTTCACAAGCCTTCTAGACTTTTAAGTCTAAACAAACACAATTCAATTCTATGTCACTCCAGTTCTGCAGCACTATGGCACAGATTGTTTGTGTAGGAAAATAAAAATATATTTCTGATACATGAACATGTTAAGGCTGACGGTACTTATCAGTAGGACACAGACTGAGATTCCCTCAGGGAAAGTGGTAGAGCACTGATAATGACCCACTTATTTCGTTAGTGTCACATCTGAGCAAATATCATAGAAGACAGCAATTAGGATGAAGTCCATGGATATGGGCTAGAATGGAGTTACCACAGATATCTAAATTTAGGTAGAAGATCCCCTCCCCCAAGATTAAACCTTAGAAAAGAAGGACTGGCCTTATATTTGAGCTCTTATAGAGACTCGATCCAGTGCCTCTCAGTGACTTTACTGTGAAAAATAATGTATAACTTGGAGATGGCACAGATGCATGGAATTTAATATGTACTACAGAACTAATGAAAATCCAAATTTTGGTAAATGGGTACTTGTGGCTTAGGATGAAAACACTAGTGACAGGATCTTACAACCAGGGTAAGGATGAGGTACTTTGGGAATCTGTTTGATGACTCAAAAAATGGCTTCAGGAATAAAAAAGACATTGGTGTCAAAGATATTTATGAAGAAAAATAGAATAGAAATGCTCTGTGAGGTAGAAAAATCAATTTTTCTTATTGTTATTTTAAATAGGTGTGACTATATTAGTATATTAAATAGTACAAGCTGACTTTTTTGTCCTAAAAGCTTATATATGTAAGCTTTTATATATATACACATACATATATATCTGGCCAAAAAAGTCCTTTTGGGGGAGAGAGGGGAAATTTTCTCATCAGAAAAATAATCACAGCCAGGTACAGTAGCTCACATCTGTAATCCCAGCACTTTGGGAGGCTGTGGCAGGTGGATCATAAAGTCAGGAAATCATGACCATCCTAAACGAACACAGTGAAACCCTATCTCTACTAAAAATATAAAAAAAATAGCTGGGTGTGGTGGCATGCACCTGTAGTCCCAGCTACTCAGGAGGCTGAGGCAGGAGAATCACTTGAACCTGGGAGGTGGAGGTTGTAGTGAGCTGAGATCGCACCACTGCACTCCAGCCTGGGCAACAGAGTGAGACTCCGTTTCAAAAAATAAAGAAAGAAAGAAAAATAATCACCATATATTTGGCGGTTTTTTTTTTAGCAGGAATTTGTACCCAAATGAGATAGCCAGCTGTCAGCTAGATTTTCTCACCTTTAAAATGGGAAGATCTTTAAAGGCAGAAAACATCTTTCTACACTAATTTTTCCCTTCTGGAGTGCAACCCAGACATTTGACTAATATTACTAGCATAATGACAACAGTAAATCTTTGCAAATTGTAATTTCTCTCAGTAATATATCATGTGCTTTCACAGTGAAAAAGGAAGCATTCTGAATTAAGATTCTAGAGACAACAGTTCCAGTTTCAGTTCTGTCATTATCAAGGTATTTATTTCTCAGAAAATCACCCAGCTTTCCTAGGCCTCAATGCTTCATTACTAAACATAATAAAACATGCAGGGCAAGGTGTTCATGCCTGTAATCCCAATGCTTTTGGAGGCCAAGACAGGAGGATCACGTGAGTCCAGGAGTTTGAGACCAGCCTGGGCAGCAGTGAAACCCTGTCTCTATAAAATAAAATGAAAAAAATATTAAGAACTAGCTGGGCATGGTGGTGTGTGCCTACAGTCCCAGGTACTCAGGAGGTTGAGGTAAGAAGATCCCTTGGGCTAGGGGGGTCAAAGCTGCTGTGAGCCATGATAATGTCAGTGCACTCGAGCCTAGGCAACAGAGCAAGACCCTGTTTCAAAAATAATAATCATAATAAAATGAAAGACTAAAGAACCAGATTATTTCTACAATCACTTTCAGCCATAAAATCCCAGTGTTCCACAAAGTGCTAAACTAAGAATTTTGATGGCTGGGTGCAGTGGCTCATGCCTATAATCCTAACACCTTGGGAGGCTGAGGCAGATGGAACAACTGAGGTCAGGAGTTCAAGACCAGCTGGCCAACATGGGGAAAACTCATCTCTACTAAAAATATAAAAATTAGCCAGGCATGGTGGTGGTACCTATAGTCCCAGTTACTCGGGAGGCTGAGGAAGGGGAATCACTTGAACCTGGGAGGCAGAGATTACAGTGAGCCGAGATCACACCACTGCACTCTCCAGCCTGGACAACAGAGCAAGACTCCGTCTTGGTGGGGGGGGGGGGGGGGGGGGGGGAAGAATTTTGAGAATCAAGTTATCGGTGGAGACCAGACACAGTGGATCATGCCTATAATCCTAACATTTTGGGAGGCTGAAGTGGGTGGATTGCCTGAGCTCCAGAATTCGAGACGAGCCTGGGAAACATGACTAAACCCCCTTACTACTAAAAATACAAAAAATTAGCCAAGCGTGGCATTGCACACCTGTAATCCCAGCTACTCAGGAGACTGAGGCAGAAGAATCGCTTGAACCCAGGAGGCAGAGGTTGCAGTGAGCCAAGATCATGCCACTGCACTCCAGCCTGGGTGACAGAGCAAGACACTGTCTCAAAAAGATTATCAGTGGAGACTGGGAGACCATCACTAAAGGGTAAGACAGGATCTGGATACCACAAGAAGGAGAGAGGAGAGACAGCAGGATCAAGCAGAGGGGTAGACATGACATAAGGAGAATGGAGGTGGGCAAAAGAATGTGATGTGATGCAGGCACATGCTGTGAAATGGTGACAAGGATGGGGGAGTTCGATATGGCCTGATTCTGAAGGCACTCTGGTTATTTGAGTTCTTGAACCGAATCACAGCTTTGCAGAGCATCTGTGACACTTGAATGTCTATGATGGTAAGAGGAGGTCTCTGGAGAATCTCAGTGGCAATGGGGCCCCCAACTCATGTGGTCACCCCAAATGCTGCCACGTGGGAATCTACAGTGACTTGTAGCAAATGCAACTCCACAGGGGAGGATGAAGGGGGCAGCCAGAGCCTGGTTTCCTATGGAAGGCCATTTTCTCAGTAAAACATTAACTCTGCCATCTCTACGGCCAAGAATAGGAGCACTATTGATAAAAAAAAAAAAAAAAAAAAAGCATTGTAAAGTATGTGGATCAAAGAACCCTGTTTTGTTTACATAAAAGATGGTACAATTTGTCTCATCTACAGTGGAAAAATCTCATTTTAAGCAACAGTGTTAAGCACCACCGGAGATAAACCATTACATCTTATAATCAAATGGCTTGTAAGGCCATTTCATGGACCGACAAAATAAACCTTTCCAAAATATTCGTTCAAATAAAACATTCCAATAAATCCTACAGCGCTTTCTGGTTACATCATCTGAAATCTTTGCCAAACAAAATGAAATCCTCCCATGATGAGCAATAACTTTCATAAATTGAGGACTCCTGAATGTGTCTCTCCAACCCCGACCATTACCTGGACTTCTGACTCATCTCCAAACTCCTACCTCACATCTCCACCGGGATGTCTATTAGGATGTCAAACTGATCAAGTTCAAAATCAAACTCTTCTTTCCTGCCCCTCCCATATACATACACCCCCCACACACGTCCTTCTACCTGTTCTGGCCAAAAAACCTTAGAGTGAGTCACCCTTGACTTATCTCTTTTTCTCATAGTCCCATCAAATCCAGCAGCCAATCTTCTTTTTTTTTTCAGATGGAGTCTAGTCTCACTCTGTTGCCCAGGCTGGAGTGCAGTGGTGCAATCTCGGCTCACTGCAACCTTTATTTCCATTTCCCTGGGTCAAGCAATTTTCTTGCCTCAGCCTCCCAAGTGGCTAGAATTACAGGCATGTGCAGTCACATCCAGCTAGTATTTTTAGTAGAGACAGGGTTTCACCATGTTGGCCAGGCTGGTCTCGAACTCCTAACCTCACCTGCCTCAGCCTCCCAAAGTGCTGGGATTACAGGTATGAGCCACTACACCCGGCCAAGCAGCCAATCTTAACAAGTCAATCTTTTGAATACATCCAAACACAGCTACCTAGCCCTTGCTCCACTTCACCAGTCCAAGCCACTAGACTATAATAGCTCTCCAACCAGCTCTCCCCTTGCCCTCCTGTAGTCCATCTTCCACAGAGCAGCTACAGCAATCCTTTCATGGAACAAGTCAGATCACACCCCTGCTCAAAATCCGTATCACTTCCCATTTTACTAGGAGTGAGGGCCACACCTTTACAATGGCCTCCTTGGGCCTGTGTGATCTGCCTGCATCTCACTTCTTTTCCTTTGCCCTCAGTTCCTACCACTCTGCTCCTTGTTCACTCCACTTGTCTCAATGACCTCCTTACTCTCTTTGAACAGCAAGTCTACCAAGTACAGTCCTATGCTGACTGATCTGTCAGAAATGTGCTCTCCCCACAGCCTCATGCTTGTTCCCTCCCCACCTTCAGGTCTCTGTTTAAACATTCCCCTAATGGCCTTTCCTAATATCATTCCCCAAATAAATTAACTGCACTCAAACCCTGTTTCAGGCACTAGTTGTGGGGAAATTCACACTAAGACAAGAACTTATCTCAGGAAACAACATTACTCCAGGATCACTCTAGCCAGGGTTGGTGAAAGGAACTGAGAAGAGTGAAACAGGAAAGAAAAATACACCAGTAAACGAGGCATTATCAAATTAGTGACCACCCTGGATTTTAAGCTGCTTAGAGTACACCTCACAATTACCCACTTTAAAGATGGAAAGGAAGACCATTTATCTTTCAGTTCTTTGCCGCCACTGGTCACGGGTTATTCTCCTGGGCATCATGCCCAATCATACTTCCAAACTGTACATGTGCAGGGAGTAAACAGATTTTCCCAATGGCCCTGGGCAGAAAGCAAGAAGCAGGTAGGGCAGCTGAGATGAGGCACTGTCAAATTACAGCTGGGCAGAGGTGGTTCTCGTCACAGTGACTGGCTTCAAAGGTAAGCTGTGAGGTATCCAATACAGTAACTAATAATGTTCATCCCAGTGTTTTTAAAGATGCAAGTAGATAATCTCACTACAAGTGCATCAAACTAACAAGACTGAGCAAGCATCCCTGAATAGACTTTAATGTTGTAATCAAATAAAGTTTAAAGTTGGCCTGAAAGTAAATTTTAGAATCTACGTATGACTACTTCTGTGTGACAGTCAAGCATAGATGGTGAATAAATATATGTAAAAAAATATAGTTACTACTCAGTTTCCCAACATAATAAAGAATTTTTAAGACTAAAAAAATAAGGTACAAGAAGAACTGGGAGGCACAGGCGCCAACCCAAGGTTCTATACAGATGCCCACCCTCACCATCTCCTGGAACACAGCAGCTAGGCCATTCCTCTTAGAGAAAGGGGTCTATTAGCTCAAAGGTTGGGGCCATATCCTGGGGTTTTGCCCATACCCTTGTTTTAAGGGTCAGGACACCTATGTCCCAGATCATATTTCACTCAAGCTATTGCAGTTCCATCTCCTCTGAAGCAAGCCTTGCATCTAATTCTAAAAAGAGCAGAGAGTGATGATGGTACTGGGAAAAGGAGGACATGGCACAGAAGAACGAAGGGGTTGTTGTTCTCAGTATATCATGGCAGTGGGAAGGTAGGAATGAGCATTACAAATGATGACATTTCAGGTGAGCCTCCTGCCCACCAAATTACCAATAAACAATTTTACTGAGGCTCCCAAGAATGTCCCATCTGAACTTGGCTCTGGAGAAATGTGTATCATGAGAAGTCTGGAAGTGCCTCACAAGCCTCATGTGGAAAGTAAGTACAAAGGGTTTTTCCATCACATGCAACTGCAGGAAAATACATGAGTGGTAACTATGCTAACAAAAGAAGGAATTTAAGTGTCAGATAAATAGAATGGATGGAAAGCACCCAGAAGCAGAACAGTAAGAGACTGATAGGAGACTCACTAGGCCAGAAGTTGATAAATGTTAGTCACAGGCTGGCTCCAGCCCACAGGTGGTTATTATTGTCCCAAGTAGGATTTTAATATAGTGAAGCCAACATTTATAAATTCGATCTTTACAAAAAACTCTAGACTTCCCTTGATAAACTTGTAAGGCCGGTTGCCTCGCAGAGGGTTAAACGGACACATCCATCTCTCTCCGTGCCTGATAACTACATCATCACCCAAGCTTGTTATCTGGCCTTGCCGCATGGCTTCCCCGCACCCGCCTCCACATACCAGGCCCAAACCCACATTCAGCACTAAATTATGCATTCAACCCCCAGCCCGCTGTTGATAAACCCTGCAGAAAATTTTTAAAGAAGCCCCATCAGACCCTGCCCGGTAGCAGTCCGCCCTGCACGCCCCCAGCAGGCCCACTTACCCAAGGTCCCGCCCGCCTACCCATAACTAGCTCCAGGTATTTCCTGCTTCTTAACAGCCAATAAGATTGCCTTCACTTTGTTTCCCCAATAGCCAATCAAGGCCCATTTACCCAAGGTCCCACCCACCTACCAATGGCAGCTAGTTCCGGGTATTTCCTGCTTCTTAACAGGCAATAAGATTACCTTCGCTTTGTTTCCCCAATAGCCAATCAATTGCCTTCCTTCCCCATAAAACCCCACTCCCTGAATAGTCGGGCGCGACTTCTTTGGCCCCTTCCAGGACCACAGAACCTCGCCCGGGAGCTGAATAAATTAGCTTCTCATTTTCTTATACTTGCCTCAGTTTCCTCATTTTACCTCGGCAATAAATCTTACAAAACTGAAATGCCAGTTCCACTGAACTTGCTAGTGACAACAAAAAGCTAGGGCTCAGTAGTAACTTCTTCTCTTGAAAGTCTCCCATGAGGCACCCCCACCCCCACCCCACTACTAGTCCCTATAGCTTTTGAATTTTTTTCTTTTCACTAAAGAAAAAAAGATATTTATTGGTTTATATGTTAAAAATGGAAAAAAACAAAGACATTCTGTCGGTCACTAGATTTTTTTCTTACACTAAATCTGCTTCATTTATTTATATGGTCTCTCTGGCCAGTGTATGCATTTGCAATTGAAACCCAGGACTAGACTGAAAGCTCCAGGAGGATAGATGCTATACCTCTCTTACACACCATTGTAGCCCCAGCACCATGCATAGTGCCTGATCCACAGCAGACACTCAATACCATTGAGTTATAGACAGAGGGATGACTTACAACACTTTAAAAAGTGGTGAGGCAAGGGAGCATCCCATAGCTGTAAAACTATAAAGTCAAGGCCTTGGTAAATGAACAGAATTGATCTTTAGTATTAGTGTACCACTTACAATGTGTATTAATTAATCAATACTTAACCAGATGTAAGAAAAGATACATTCTTGACTTTCCCAATCTTTTACACCAACATCTGACTATAGGTTTCTACTTCAGCATTCATTTAGCCTACAGGTATTAATCACCATCTTAACACTTCTGCTCGTCGCTGTTAGATCATTGTCTGTACTTTTCTGTTTGCTTGAAAAAAATACTTTTTAAAAGTCTTGTTCATACTTGACATGATCTTTGCCTTTTATTCTGAGATACAATAAGGCTATTTCTAAAGATCCTTGAAATTTTATTTAGTGGTACATAAAAATCATCTACCAATAACCTTCATCTACCCATAGATACCAAAAAGTGTAATTTCATTACCTGGTTGAAGTTCATTCCTTTTTCCTTCTTTAGTAGACTGAATTAAACTTGCAGCTAATGGAAAAAGAAAAAAAAATCCATTAGCAATTGATCCATGTGGTGGCTTGTTAAAGTTTACCATATACCTGAAATAGATGGTGGCCCAAAGGATATGTCAATGGAAGATTAGGGCAGAACACAAAGCATTCTTTTTTGTAGGTATGCTCTCCATATTCTTTATTTCAAATTTAACTTCCCAAGAACATTTTTTCTTAGAAAATCATTGTTACAGAGTAATTTAATACTGCAAAAACCTAATACTTTGAAACTCTTAAAAGATGTAGTTCAGTTCTTGACATGCAGCAATAACAGTTCAACTTACCAAGCAAAGTTCTTTCACTGTTGACAGAGCAACTGAAAACTTCCAAGTCTTTCTCAAAGGCATACAGAAGCTATTAAAACAAAAGTATTTTTTAATTTAGAATTTCACATATTAAATAAAAATTGTATTAATGTAAATTCCCATTAAGCTCTGTGCTAAGTACTACTGGAGCAAAATATTTTAGTAAAGAATCAAACTAGTTTAGCAATGCTGACAGACCACTCTTTACCAAAACCAGACCACTCTTACCAAAAAAAAAAAACTTTGCTATCATAAGCCATGTTTGGCACTGATATTTAGCCATGAGACAATCAAGTATAGTGGTTAAGAGCATAGATGTTGGAGCCCTACTGGACCCAGGTTCAAATCCTGACTCTGACACTTACTAGCTGTGTGACCCTGGATAAATTATTCAGCTTCTCTTTCCCCCTATCAGTAAAATAGCAATCATAACATCTACTCATGGGATTGTTAGGAAGATCAAGCAAGATAATCTATATGAAGCATTTAGTGCAATAAGCACTCAAATGTTAGCTATTGTAATTACTGAGGTAATTTTAATTACAAAATAATCACTAGTTATCTTAGCCACTGTCACAAGTACATCTCCCATAGAGCTTTCATATTTAGAGGACTGGGAAGGTAGTCTTCTATCTTTATTTTTTTTTCTTGTTGCTGTTTAAAATGTTCAAAATGTTGCAAGATTCCATTTCCTTGAACATTAAAGAAAATGAAAATGCCCATGCAGTAGGATGTGATGTGGAGATTGAGGAACTAGAGGACACCAGTTCTATTACGCAGTCTCTCTTAAAGAACACCCAGGGGATAAGCGAAACAGACTGTCTTAGACCTCAGAAGAGAACAGACTAAGTCAAACAGTTAATGGCCTAAGTATTAAGAAGGTTACTGGTATCTGCACACTAAAAAAGTATCAAGAACACACCAGGTCCCTATAGCTAGAAGTCAATGGGAAAAGCTGGGGAAGTTAGGGAACAACTGATTACAGAAAGTGAATTTTCAGTTAATAAGGTACCGAAGGGAGAGATCCAAGATGGCTGATCACTAGCAGCTCGGGATTGTAGCTCCCACTGAAAGCGCAGAGAATGAGAGGACGCCACACTTTCAGATCAATCACGCACCAGGAGATTCCCAGCGGAGAAGCCCCATGGGTCGCCAGCGCAACTCTTGAGGCTGGTGAGGCGGTTTTGTCGCTGCCTTGGTGCGGCGGTTCTTGGTGCAGAGTCAGAAAAGCACCATCAATCATAACGCTGCTGTTTTGGCCGGCGCAGTGGGTTGCTCTGATTTTAGCGCCGGGAATCAACAAGTTGGACGTCCATTCAGAAACCCAACTATAAAGACGGTAATTATAAAGACGGTAATTATAAAGACCACAGATGGATAAATCTATAACGAAGGGAAGAAACCAGTCTAAAAAGGCTGAGAATACCCAAAATCAGAACGTCTCTCGCTCTACAGGGGATCACAGTTCCTCATCAGCAACGGAACAAGGCCTGATGGAGAAAGACTGTATTCCATTAGCAGAAGCAGGCTTTAAAAAGTGGATGATAAGAAACTTCTGGGAATTAAAAGAACTTGTTCTAACCCAATGCAAAGAAACTAAGAACTTTGAAAAAAGGTTTGACGAAATGTTAAAAATAACACACAATTTAGAGAGGAATATGAGTGAATTAATGGAGCTGAAAAACACAACACGAGAACTTCGCAAACTATGCACAAGTTTTAACAGCCGAATTGATCAAGCAGAAGAAAAGATATCAGAGGCTGAAGACCAACTTAATGAAATAAAACAAAAAGACAAGATTAGAGAAAAAAGGATAAAAAAGAACGAGCAAAGTCTCCAAGAAATATGGGACTATGTGAAAAGACCTAATCTACGTTTGATAGGTGTACCTGAGTGTAACGAAGAGAATCAATCCAAGCTGGAAAACGCGCTTCAGGATATTATTCAGGAAAACTTCCCCAACCTAGCAAGGCAGGACAATATTCAACACCACAAAGATACAGAGAACACCACAAAGATATTCCTCAAGAAGACCAACCTCAAGGCACATAATCGCCAGATTCACCAGGGTTGAAATGAAAGAGAAAATACTGAGGGCAGCCAGAGAGAAAGGTCAGGTTACCCATAAAGGGAAGCCTATCAGACTCACAGCAGATCTCTCAGCAGAAACCCTACAAGCCAGAAGAGAGTGGAGGACAATATTCAAAATCCTTAAAGAAAAGAACTTTCAACCCAGAATTTTACATCCAGCCAAACTAAGCTTCATAAGCAAAGGAAAAATAAAATCTTTTGTGAACAAGCAAGCACTCAGAGATTTCATCACCACGAGGTCTGCTTTACAAGGGCTTCTGAAAGAACCACTACAAATAGAAAGGAACAACCAGTATCAGCCTTTCTAAAAAATACCAAAAAATAAAGAACATCAACATAATTAAGAACTTGCATCAACTAATGGGCAAAACAGCCAGCTAACATTAAAGGGCAGTATCAAACTCACATATATTGTTATTAATTCTAAATTTAAATCGACTAAATCCCCCAATCCAAAGACACAGACAGGCAAAAAAAAGCCAAGACCCATTGGTATGCTACATCTAGATCCATCTCACATGCAAGGATACACAAAGACTCAAAACAAAGGGATGGAGAAAAATTTACCAACCAAATGGAGAGCAAAAATAAATAAATAGAAAGCAGGGGTTGCAATTTTTGCTGATAAAATATACTTTAAAGCAACAAAGATCAAAGAAGCAAAGAAGGATATTACATAATGATAAAAGGATCAATGTAACAAGAAGAGCTAAAGATCCTAACTATATACGTACCCAATACAGGAATATCCAGATATATATGACTTATAAAGAGACTTGGACTCCCACACAATTATAGTGGGAGACTTCAACATCAATATTAGACAGATCAATGAGACAGAAAGTTAACATCGATAACCAGGACTTGAACTCAGATCCGGAACAAGTAGACTTAATTAACATTTATAGAACTCTCCACTTTAAATACACAAAATATACATTCTTATCAGTACCACATTACACCTATTTATAGGTTTAAATGAAATACTGGTTGGCTGCTTGTTAGTTATTTTCTTCCCTCATTTTTTTTTTATGTCTCTACTATTAAACACAATTACAGGCATACCCATTTTTAGACTGCATTCTAGCCTGGGCAATAAAGCAACACCCCTGTTCTCTCTCCCTCTTCCTCTTTCTTCCTCTCCTTCATTCTTTTTTTTTGTCTCTTTCTTTCTTCTCCTTAAAAAAAAAAAAAATCCTAGCACTTCAGAAGGCTGAGGCAGGCAGATCACTGAGGTCAGGAGTTCAAGACTAGCCTGACCAAAATGAAGAAACCCTGACTCTACTAAAAAAAAAAAAAAAAAAAAAAAGTGGTACACACACCCAAGTAAATAACTATTGCCCTATCAGTAACATTCTTTGGCAGCAAATTGATGGAATGGATGGAATTCTAGGCTGAGTCAGAAGGCCTGGATGTACACATCCTGCCCCTGTTACTAACTTGCTCTTTGGGAAGTGAAATGGGGTAGGGTTGAAGCGACAGGTGAGGCTCCTACAAGTACAAATACAATAATCACAACAGCTGACGTTTATCAAGTATTAATTGTTAGTTTCTCTGCTAATCCCTTCACATGGATTATCTAACTCAATCAAGCAAGTAACCATAGGGGATAAAGGAAAAAAAAAAAGAAAAAAGAAAAAAAAGAATTCAGCGTGTACTTTATACCCACAGCACAGCTCAGCTTTTCTGAGCTCCTCTCGAGTGCTCATCAGCCACATGTGGCCAGTGCCTGCTGTCCTGGATGGTACAGGCCCAATGACTGTACCTCTGGTTGTAAGGTTGGCAGGAGCTGGCAGGAGCCAGAACAGGAGTTTGTGACAGGCGACAAGGAAACCACTAACCCTTGCTGATCTGTGTGTCCAGTTTTTTTTCTCCCTTTTTTCAAACTTTTCATTTCTATACATACCCTGCTTATGTATCAAGTTCTTTTCTAATCAGGGATCCTCAAATGACAGGAGGTGACCTCTGATGGTGTTTGTGAGTTTCATAGTCCAGAGATGTGACCTCAGCCACGGTGGGCAGGAAGGGCGCTGGAAAAGGGTATTAAGGCTGCCACCTTTGTGGGGGAAACGGCATCTTCTTGGATAAGTGGGGAAGAGTCCCAGGGAAATATGCAACAGCTAGGACGGACATTTTTATAGCCTGTGCTTGGAACATTCTGCCTCTAAAGAATCAGGTGAGCTGGCTCGGAGCAGGGAGCCAACTGCAGAGCCAGGGCTAGAGGGCTTTGAATTTGGAAAGTGAAAAGAATACGGTGGCTTGGGCTTTGGACACAGAGCATCAGAAACTCCAGAGAAATGAGATAAACTGAAAAAAAAAGTGGGTTTGATGTAGACCAAACAGGAACAGTGGAGAACAAGCTGCAAAAGGAGGGGAGGAGAACAGTCAGTGGCTTCCATGGCTTCCCCCAAATGGAGGGAGGTAGGGTCAGCTCAGGGGACAGGCTGGAGGTTTATGATGGAAAGGTAGTGGGGTATGGGTGTGGCCAGGAGAGGAGGCAAAGCTGGGGGCTGCTATGGGACAGAGGGGCAGAGGGAAAGTTCATGCTGCTGATGGGGTCACAAGAGTCACTTGTGGCCTGGGGCCTTGAAGAACCAAGGGAAGCCCTCCCAGAGCCCAGCAACACCTCGAGCAATGCTCACTGCTCCAGCCAGCAAGAAGTGGGGTAGCAGCCCCCAACCTCTCTCCCCATACTAGAGACAGAAGAGAGCTGAAGAAGCCAGAGAGAGGGAGCCAGAGAGAATTTTCCATTTCCTTTGACTGCTGCTCTAACTGAGGAATTCTAAATTATTATTAAGAAGAATCTAATTCTAAATTATTACTAAGAAGAATCGAATTCCAAATTATAACTAAGAAGAATGGGAACATACACTTTTTTAATGTATTATGTTTTAATTATAAAATAATGTAAGTATAGTCTCAGTGTTTAAAAACGTAAACACTATGGCCAGGTGCGGTGGCTCACATGTGTAATCCCAGTGCTTTGGGAGGCCAAGGTAGGTGGATCACAAGGTCAAGAGATTGAGGCTATCCTGGTCAACATGATGAAATTCCATCTTCACTAAAACTACAAAAATCAGCTGGGCGTAGTGGCACACATCTGTAGTCCCAGCTACTCGGGAGGCTGAGGCAGGAGAATCACTTGAACCCCAGAAGCCGAGGTTGCAGTGAGCCGAGATCATGCCACTGCACTCCAGCCTGACAACAGAGCGAGACTCCGTCTCAAAAAAAAAAAAAAAAACAGAAAAACAAACAAACATTATCAGAAAAAAAGCCAGCCTGTATAACATGACAAAATCCTGTCTCTCCAAAAGTTTTTTTTTTTTTTTAAATTAGGCAGGCATGATGGCATGCCTATAGTCCTAGCTACCTGGGAGGCTGAGATGGAAGGATTACTTGAGCCCAGGAGGTCAAGACTGCGGTGAACTGTAATTGTGCCACTGCACTCCAGCCCAAGTGACAGAGCAAGACCCTGTCTCAAATATTAAAAGGTCAAAAGATATAAACAGTCCATTATACTCAGCCAATCCCAACTTCCTTCCAAAAGGAAGCATGTTTACAAATTTTCTGTAGTTATGTACTTAGAGTGACAGTGCAAGTTTTTTCAAAACATAACTGCCATGTATTATTCTGACAACTTGCTTTTTTCATGTAACAATATGTTTTGAAGAGCCTTCTGTACCAGTACATTTATAGACTTCTTAATCCTTTAATAGCTGTATCAATTTCCAAAAACTTACTGATGGGCATTTAGTTTGCCTCCTACATTTAGGTAGTATAATAATCCAATGAACTTCCTTTTACATACACCTATGTGAATTTGTACAGATATTTCTGTAGAATCAAAACCTCAAAGTGGAATTTCTAGGTCAATAGGTATGCAAGTATCAGAAGTCTTTAACTGCAAGCATCAAAAAATCTTCCCCAAACTAGCTTAGGCAAAAAGACAATTAGTGGCTCATGAAATTGAACAGAACAGGGTGTTACTTCAGTATTGGCTTGACCCAGAGCTGGAAATATCCATTCTCTTAGCTATCCAGGTTCAATACATTTGTTAGCCTCCACACAATAGAGCTCCAACTTCTAGTCCCCAAAGCCACAGCAGTTCTAGCCCACTGAATTCACTTACTACCAAGCCCAGTGGAAAAGAGAAGAGTCCATGTCCCAAATTCCCAGCCAAGTATTCACTTGTATGCAACCAGTTAAGTTCATGTCCACTCTTATATGCACTACCAAGGAAGGCCTACACGACAGGAGGTGGGAGAAAGAGGTGGAAGAGGTTGAGGAAGGAAACATTGGGAGTACCTAATTGTGCGTAAGTAATACACTGCTTCCCATTTGGATATTGCAGGGTAAGACCATTCACTTAAAACTTGACGGGAAGGGGACAAAGTGGAGTCAACCCCCTTGTCCCTACTGCTCCCACCAAGTACAGTTTTAAAACCCTGGACATGTACTTTTTAAAAAACCAAAGATAACTCTGAAATGTAGAGAGAAGGCAGGGGATTCTTTAGGGACCTCAGGTCCTGATGAATGACATAGTAGTGAGTTCCCTGGGTTTTCCTTTTGGGTCACATAGCCTACATTCAGGCTAAAGAGGAGAAAACAACAGAAATACTGATGGGAGCAGACAAAAACAAACACACACCCATTCTCTCTAGCCAAAGGAACTGGAAAGGGGAAACACAGCAAGAGAGAAACTTTTTTTTTTTTTTACTATAACCACCCTAACTCCAGCCAAACACTACAAAAGAAAATGCAACCCCACTCCCTCCTCTACCAGCAAAGGCTATGTGGGGAGCTTAGACTCCCACCTTTGCCCAGCTATAACAAGGCACCCTTCCCCCTTCTGTGAGAAGAGTATCAAAGAAGACCAAGTAAGAAATCAAGACTTTCATCCATTCCCAGTGGTAATGAGCTTTCCCCACCAAGAATGCCAGCAAAGCCACGTGGATCCTGGACTCCCACCCAGACCCAGCAGTAAAGAGGTCCCTTTCCACCTCCTCACTGGGATGGTGTCTGAGGTGGCTGAATGGGAAGCCAGAACTTTCACCAGCACCAGATGATAATGAGGCCTTCATCTACCTTTCCCCCATCCTATTCCTCTGCTGTGGTATCAGTGGAGGCCAAGCGGGGAAGAGTGAAATCCTACCTCTGTCTACTCGTAATAAGGCACTTCTCCCCACTGGGGTGTCCAAGTAGGCCAAGTGGGGAACCTAGACCTTCCCCCCACCACAACCTAGCAATAGTGAGGTTGTATCCCCCACCCTGCTAATTCCCCAACAGGTATATTATCAGAGGAGGCACGCTAAAGAGAAGACTTAAATAAGACCCAGAGTTTCCTAATGTAGTATTCGAAATGCCTAACATACAATAGAAAATCTCACATCATACCAAGAACCAGGAAGATCTCAAGCTGAACAAGAAAATAATAGGCACAAGAACTGAGATAATGCAGATACTGGAATTTTCTGACAAAGGTTTTAAAACCATCACCATAAAAATGCTTCAACAGGCCGGGCGCGGTGGCTCATGCCTGTAATCCTAGCACTTTGGGAGGCTTTGGCAGGCGGATGACAAGGTCAAGAGATTGAGACCATCCTGGTCAATATGGTGAAACTCCATCTCTACTAAAAATACAAAAATTAGCTAGGCATGGTGGTGTGCACCCGTAGTCCCAGCTACTTGGGAGGCTGAGGCAGGAGAATTGCTTGAACCTGGGAGGTGAAGGTTGCAGTAAACCGATATTGCACCATCATATTCCAACCTGGGCAACAAGAGCGAAACTCCATCTTAAAAAAAAAAAAAAAAGTTTCAGTAAGTAATTACAAGCATCCTTGAAACAAATGAAAATCTCAGCAAGAAATAGAATATATAAAGAAAAATACTGACGGAAATGTCACAACTGAAAAATCACCAATTTTTTTTTAACAAAACCTCTATGGGTAGGCTCAACAACATAGTGGAGAGGACAGAAGAATCAGTGAACTTGAAAACAATAGAAGTTGCCTAATTTAAAACAATAGACAGAAATCCCAAAAATAAAGGAAACAGGGCCAGACACTGTGGCTCACACCTGTAATTCCAGCACTGTGGGAGGCTGAGGCGGGCAGATCACAAGGTCAGGAGATTGAAACCATCCTGGCCAACATGGTGAAACCCTGTCTCTACCAAACATACAAAAAAATTAGCTGGGAGTGGTGGCGCACGCCTGTAGTCCCAGCTACTTGGGGGGCTGAGGTAGGAGAATTACTTGAACCAGGAGGCAGAGATTGCAGTGAGCCAAGACCGCACCACTGCACCACAGGCCGGGTGACAGTGTGAGACTCCATCTCAAAAAAAAAAAAAAAAGGAAACAGAACCTCAGAGATCTGTGAGACTATAACAAAAGATCTACCATTTGTGTAAGCAGAGTCCATAAAAAGAGAAGAGAAACAGAGAGAAATTTTAAGTATTGGAAGAAATACTAGCTAGTGACTACAAAATGTTCCAAATTTGGCAAGAGACTACACATTCAGTAAGCTGAGTAAACCCCAAACAGGGAAAATCCAAACAAATCCACACTAAGACACAGTATAATCAAACTTCAGAAAACTAAGGAGAAAGAAAAGTTTGTTTTTTTTTGGTTTTTTTTTGGTTTTTTTTCAAAAAACAGCAAAGAAAAAAAGTGACATCTTACCTATATGGGGAATGAACAATTCAGAAGACAGCAGATTTCTCACAAGAAACCAGAGAGAGCCCAGAAGAAATGGCACGTTTTTCAAGAGAGGAACAAAAAGAACTATGAGTCCTGAATTCTACACTTGGCAAAATTATCTTTCAGGAATGAAAGGAAAAAAAGGCATTCTGAGATGAAGAAACTATGAGAATTTGTCATCAGCATACCTACCCTAAAAAAATGGCTAAAAAAAGTTCTTGAAAGAGAAAGGAAATGATAAACGAGGAATCTTAGAAGATCAGAAAGCCAGAAAGAACCATAGAAAGAGCAAATATACAGGTAAACACAATAGACTTTCCTTCTCCTTTTGTGTTTTCTCAATTATGTTCAACAATCGGGGCCAAAAATATAACACTGCCTGAGAATGTATAGGAAATATCAAAGACAATCAAAAACACAGAAAGGTAAAGAGACTTAAAAGGAGGTAAGAGTTCTACACTTCGTTTGAACTAGTAAAATTTCAACACAATAGATCTTGTGGTGATGGAATAATTCTTTTTCTTTATTGCAGTGGTAATTACAGGAATCTACACAAGTGAAATAGCATAGAACTATATGCACGCATTCTACCGATATTAATTTATTGGTTTTAATATATTATCCTATAGTTACACAAGACGTAACAATTGAGAGAAACTGAGTGAAGAGTACACAGGACATTGCTGTTCTCGTTTTTCAAATTAAAAAAATAAAAACTTGGCTAGGCATGGTGGCTCACGCCTGTAATCCCAGCACTTTGGGAGGCCAAGGCGGGCAGATCACGAGGTCAAGAGATTGAGACCATCCTGACCAATGTGGTGAAACCCGGTCTCTACTAAAACATACAAAAATTGGCTGGGCATGGTGGTGCGCACCTGTAGTCCCAGCTACTTGGGAGGCTGAGGCAGGAGAATTGCTTGAACCCAGGAGGCAGAGGTTGCAGTGAACCAAGATCATGGCACTGCACTCCAGACTGGTGCCTGACGACAGAGTGAGACTCTGTCTCAAAATAAATAAATAAATAAATAAATAAATAAAAACTTTGAGAGAAGGATGCGTAAGCATTAAGACTCAGACACCATTATTCCATCCTGAAGCTCAGTTACCAAGAAAAAGATTTTTTTCTCTTCATGGCACCATCTTTCTCTGGTGGCACCCTTCCAAGGAAAAATACAGTACTTGAAAAGAATTTTTAAAGCCTATCTAGATTTGGCATACAAATCCATTCCTTCAGTAAAACATCAAGAGATCAGTTAAAACAACAACAACAACAACAACAAAAAAAAAAAAAAAAAAAAAAAAAAAAAAAAAAAAAAAAAAAAAAACCAACTTATGGGCTGTAAGGGTTGTGCTTATGTGGAAAAGAGATGGGATGGGGGGGTTGTTTAGTGACTATGGTTCAGAAGCAAAATTTGCCTGTTTACAAAGCTAGTTTAAATTTCTGATTAATTCATCCTTTTTGCCAATTTTTTTTCTGGACTAATTTTCACATTTTGGAATTCAAAGCAGCTTTGTCACTGGAAAATTTTTGAAAAACAGCCACTCTGGAGGAAACCTATCACTATCAATCCATTGAAAAACTTCACTGCACTCCTATCACTCACAGGCTTGGTAAGCTAAAGGGTATGGAGATAGAACACATTTGGATGCAAAATACTCCTTACTGCCAAGTGCTCACAGTCTTGGGAAAGAGGAATGTAACCACAAAAGATAGCAGCAGTCACCACAAATGGATTCACGGAAGACAGACTGATGTCTCCTCTCAACCCATCTTTTTAGAATACATGCCACACAGAAAGTAAGCTAAGGATTGCACTGAAAACTGGAAATTTTATTCTCTTTCCCTAGACAGTATATTTTGAGTTTATGTTGATCATCACTGTGTCCCTAGCACCTGACAGGGAAAACACTCAATGCTTCTTTGTTCAATCAATGAATGAGTAAGTGAATGAAAGAAAAAAGGTGAAAGGGGTACACGAAGGGAAAAGCATACTGGAACCCTGAAGACTAAGGTGACCTGTGAGAAATTTGTAATGGATAAAGGACATTTAATTTCAATGACGTCTAATATTCAATTCTAAATTATTTTTACATAAGCACAAAATGACTCCCTCCCATTTGCTCTCAGAATTAGACAAAACCTGTCACATCAACCAATACCTTATGTGAGTAACAAGGAAAGAGAGCCGAGTTCCATGTCTAGATCATTAAGAAATAATGAGGAAAAAAGATACATGAAGGTTAAGCAGAAGCAAAAAGAGCCAGAGCTCATTTATACGATGACCTGGGAGTACACAAATCTCGAGGAGGGCAATGGACCTCCTTCTTTCTTACAGGATACCAGATAATTTGTTTAAGGCTACTTTACTTAAATCTAAAAGGTCTAAGAGACTTCACTTCACTTTTTGGTCCAATAGTCCGTGTATTTTTTGTTTAAGACAATAGGACCAAGAGATAGTTAAGGGAGAAGAAAAGGAAAGCAAAGAAATATAAACTTTTAGAAAATAAAGTTGGTATTCCCACTCCTAAATAGGCTCACAAAAGAATTAAAAAATGAATTGCTATGTATACAAGTGCTCATAATAGACAATTATTACAAATATGTGCCCATCAACAAATAAATAAACTGTTGCATATACTGTGAAAATTGATTAAATGAATTGGAGTTATTGTCATACTCAATTCAGTTAAATCAAGAGATCAGGAGCAGAAAAGAGAAGCACATGGGGCACAAATGCCTGTCCAGGTATTATCCTGCAAACCAGCTGCCAAAATAACCAAATGCCATAAACTTAAAGAATAGCTTTACCCAGTAGCTGCTGTAACAAAATGCCATGGCTCTAAAACTAGTTTAACCTACTGCTATCACACACCAATTAGATCTTGCCAGCCCCTGGAAACTTTCCTATTGCCAATGAGTGTTCTTTCAAAGCCATATGTAACATTTCTCTTTCTGATAAAATCCCCAACCTTTCTTTGTTCTTTGGACATACCAAAGACTACGCTGGTCTGTGTATACGCCTCAAATTGCAATTCTTTTTTTCAAATAAATTGTGTAGAAAAAGAAGAAAATAAAGTTATAATTTATATCTAGAAAAAGGAGGCGACAAATAAGAAAACTCTAAAGGCAGTAAAGTAACCAATGAGTAATCTATGATTTATGGTGATTTTTACCTCATTTTGTCTGGTTTGGCAATCGTATAATCCAAAGACGACATTTCCCTTATCATCCTAAAAAAAAATTAACCAGATGTTTATTAAATGTCATTGTTTAGGAAGTTAGAATGTTACCGGTTTCCAAACCAACCTGCAATAACTCAATCTTAGCAGTAAGCAGTCTAAAAGATGTTTTCTGTACCTGTCAGAGGGGGATTGAATCCGATTCAGGTAGTCATTTGGGCTCAAAGAATGAAACAGATAAAAACACCATAGAGCTCAGTGAGTTTGGGGAACTGTTTAGTAGGACTGAGCATGGTGAAGGAGTAAATCTTTATGTACTTCCATTTATGTCTCTGAAAATATACACATGATAGATAATAGGGATGCCTAGGACAAGTTCATAATGCTCTTATAAATAAAACACAGTGACTTACACAATTCCTTAAAGGTAACATTCTAAGACACAACTTACAGTAATTATTTTTACTATAAAGAAGTACAGTGATATAACTGTGCAAAGCAAACTGGCTGTTTGAATTATTCATGTGTACTTACTAAAGTTAAATTTTTATTAGAACATTGACATTGAAAACACACTGCTAAATAACAATGCTACATGTGCCTGTAGTCCTAGCAACTGGGGAGGTTGAGGCAGGAGCTCAAGGAACCCACTTGAGCCCAGGAGGTTGAGACTGCAGTGAGCTATGACTGTGCCACTACGCCCCAGCCTGGGTGACAGAGCAAGACCCTGTTTCTAAAAACAAAATAATAATAATGCTTCAGAAGTCCTAACATATCTACATCTGAAGAGAGTAATCATATTTAAAATTTTCTCCAAGGATAAAATTTTAACACATTAATTAGGTTTAAACATCTTGTACTTGGTATATTTTGTCTAGAAAATGAAATTGTTCATTGATTCAAAAACTTTGAGTATTATGTCAGATGTGCTCATTTAGTTTTATTTAAAAATGAAGCAACATTTAATAATACTAAATCTCTTTCTTTTTTTTTCTTTTTTTAACAGGATCTCACTCTGTCACCCAGGCTGGATGCAGTGCAGTGGTACAATCTTGGATCGCTACAACCGCCACCTCCTGGGTTCAAGTGATTCTTGTGTCTCAGCTTCCCAAGTAGCGGGAATCACCATTCCCAGCTCATTTTTGTATTTTTTGGTAGAAATGGGGTTTTGGAAAGGCCAGTCTTTAACTCGTGAACTCAAATGATCTGCCCGCTTCAGTCTTCCAAATTGTTAGGATTACAGTTGTGAGCTATCATGCCCAGCCTAATACTACCAAATTTCAACCACTTTATTCAATCTCACACAAAGTCATATGTTAAGATTAAATGCCAATAAGTTTATTCATTACCCCTCAATAAGATACAGTATAGAATTCCATAAAAAGAGAAAATAAATGATTAAAAACAGTAAATTTACATTTTATCACAATAAAAAATACAGACATACCTTATAGGTATATATGATATTTCCATTTCTTTCAATGTTTAATACACGTAAGCTCTCATAATCGTTTTCTAAAACATCTGAAATGGTAACAGTAGGTTAATACTCAGCAGAAGATGGTTAGAAACATATTTAACCAATATATTAGTGAAGAAGCCAAATATATACTAATAATTCTATTATATAAAATTTAAAAACAGGCAAAACTAATGTCTTTCATTAGAAGCACAAACAGTAGTGACCTTTAAGGAAGGGGAAAGCCATAGTGATTGAGAAGTATCTCAAGTGAGCCTTCTTAGGTGTTGGTAAAGTTAAATGTCTTAGGTATACCAATAAACTCTGTAACAACGCACGGAGATGTACTCTTTTCTGTGTGAATGTTATACAATAAATTTCAAGTATCAGTCTTTGCTTTATGCATTTTGAGGCTACATCACTAAGGGCATATGAATTTGGAATTGTTATAGCCTCCAGGAGGATTAACCACTGTTAGGCTCTAAGCTGAGCTGCCAGATGTCTGAGTAGTCAATTAAAATGGTAAGATTTAAAGGTTAATATTAACTTTTTAACAGTCAAGCTTTTAATCACTTACTGTGATGCTATAAAGCAAGAGGCTAAACAAGAGAAAGTGCTAATGTCCCTGTTCTATTTTCTCCTCATGAAATGGTGCTGTTGGCCAAAGGTCAGGTCAATCAGCAAAATATGGTGCTCTCTTCACTATCAAGGGAGCTTCCCAAAAAGGTTCCTGCAGTATCATGGATCCAGTAGCCAAGGGTAAGCAGAAGGAGAAGAGCTAGGAGTGGGAAAGTAATTTGCTGGAGAAAAAGCAGCCTTCAAAGCCCCCCTCTTACCCCTGCTGAGGTGGTTTTAGTGGTTTAGAGGCACCTGAGAAAGGTCTCTGCTGAAGGCCTCCAAATGAAGAAACTGGGCTAGGAATGCAAGGGTGTGGCTGGCCAGCCAGACCTGAGTCACAACCACTACTCATTTCCAGGACTACAGTGCACTGGCCATACACCAAGTTGGATTGAGGGAGGGCAGCTTTCTCCAGTTAGGCCTATCAGATAAAGCCTTTGTAGCTGCACATGGTTGGGTCTAAAAAATTACACATAAGGTTTTAAACTAGGAGCTGGACTAGCAACCCTTTATCATTAAACAATATCTTTTATTTCTAATAATTATTTTTACTTTATGTCTTTGTCTGATGTTAATACATGAACTTGGTTAGTGCTTGCATGATATAGCTTGTTATTATTAATCTGCTTGTGTCCTTATATTGAAGATATGTTTTATAAGCAGTATCTACTTGAGATTTTTTTCCCCAATCCGACATTCTTAATCTTTTAATTGGGGCATGTAGTCCATTTACATTTAATGCAATTACTAACATATTAGGTTGATATTTATCATAGTATCATCTGTTTTACTCTTCTTCTGGACTAAGTTTATTATTTCATTCTATTACTTATTAACTTGTCAGTTATAAATTTTTGCTATTCTTTTATTAGTTATACTAAAAGTTATAACATACATCCTTGACTTACTAAGTTTTAGTATTATGTGATGCCAAAAAATGTAAAGCAACTGAAACACTCATGCATTGTTAATGGGAATATAATTTAGAAAACTGGCAGTATCTAATAAAGCTGAACACATGACTCAGCAATTGCACTTGTACATACATCCTCAAGAGAAATATATACATATATTTAGCAAAGTACACATAAGAATGTCTATAGTACTACAGTACAGTATTGCCCAACCCAGAAACCCAAACTATCCATTAAGAATGAATAAATTGTGTTATATCCAAACAATGGAATAGTTCAAAACAATAAATTAACATTCCACAATAACACATACGAAACTGGGCAAAAAGCTGGGCATGGTGGCACACGCCTGTTATCTCAACACTTTGGGAGGTCAGGGCAGGTGGATCATCAGGTCAGGAGTTCAAGACAAGCCTGGCCAAGATGTTGAAACCCCATCTCTACTAAAACTACAAAAATTAGCCCGGTGTGGTGGCAGGTGCCTGTAATCCCAGCTACTCAGGTGGCTGATGCACGGAACTGCTTGAACCTGGGAGGCAAAGGCTGCAGTGAGCCGAGATGGCACCAATGCACTACAACCTGGGTGACAGAGTAAGACTCTGCCTCAAAAGAAGAAAAAGAAAGAAAGAAAAAAACTGAGCAAAAGAACATCCCTCACCACCAAAAAAAGGTACAAATTGTATATTTCAATTCACATACAAGTTTTCAACTAATCTACAGTGTTACATAAGTGACTGCTAGAAAGGAGCATGAAGGACTTCAGAGGTTTTATTAATGTTTTCCTTCCTGTTCTGAGTCCTAGTTGCTTTAGTGTGTTCCACTTTGTGAAAATTAACGGAGCTGGGAACTTATAATTTGTGTGCTTATCTGTATGAAAGCCATATTTTGCTGAAGAACATATAGACTCTTTACACAAAACATTTAACTTGTAAGTTAACTGACCATCTTCCTTCTAAAATTTTAGGGTATTTCTCCTAATTCTACAGTTAAAGGATTTGAACATTCGTAGATACAGCATTGTAATCATTACTAATTGAGCAGAAGTGTGTATTTTCCTAATTTCCTCAAAAGTTATCCAAAATTATGGTACAATGGCTCATGCCTGTAATCCCAGCACTTTGGAAGGCTGAGACAGGCAGATCACTTAAGGCCAGGAGTTCAAGTTCAGTAGGTGGGCATGATGGTATGGACCCATAATCCCAGCTACTCAGGAGGCTGAGACAGGAGAATCACTTGGGCCCAGGAGGTGGAGGATGCAGTGAGCAGAGATTGAGGCATTGCATTTCAGAGCAAGACTCTTGTCTCAAAAAATCAAAAAGATAAATTGCTTAAATTTGACTCATGTTTTCCCATACAGAAATAGTTTGTGTTAATTACATTGATTATGACGAATTCTAATATTCAGGCAAAACATATGCAAAATAGCTAAAACTCAACAAATTTCCATTTGTATTCCTAATAAAAAAGGAAAAGACAAGGTAAAAGAAATAAGGGTAACTGTTGAGCTAGACACCTACACTGGAGCTGGAGGTGGGAAACATTCAAAGAGAAGAAAAGCAGGTTTCACTGAGAACTTAGACATCATCCTGAGATCTCTCTTCCCCACCCCTCACAAGAAACAGCTTCCAGATCTCCCACGGGCAGGACAAAGGGACAGGGCAAAGTGTTTTCTATACATGGGTATACATGTTTGTCAATAGACATACATGTATATGGAGCTGTCAGACTCACTTCACATTGAAGGATAATAAGGATAATAATTTGGCCTCTTAGGAGACTAGGATTTAATCAGTTTATGAGCCAAGCATTATAGCTCTTGCCTGTAATCCCAGCAATTCGGGAGGCTGAGGCAGGAGGATGGCTTGAGCTCAGGAATTCGAGACCAACATGGGCAACACAGCAAGACCCTGTCTCATAATAATAATTATAAGCTTATAGCTAAGTAGCACTTCACAATTTAGAGAGTTCTCATTTCTATCTCATCTGCATTGTATAAGGTATTCCAGGCTTACTATACTTTTCAATGAAATAATGATACCTGACCAATTTGCAGTGAAAAAGTGGCATAAACTGATCTCAAACCTAGAAAAAGGTAAACAGAACAATGGGCTGAGTGTCCTGTATGAAGCTTACAATGGCAAAATGGGTAATTACTGAAAAGCCCTTTGAAAGGTAGATATTGTAGACATCTAAAGATAATTTAAGTGAGTTTTTCATCCTGTACATGACTCAAAACTTCTGGAATGCAATGTGTCAATATTTTGAGAAGTATTTTTTTCTTTCAAGATTATAAGTATGCTTGGAGAGACTGCTGCAAAAGTACATTTAAAAGGTTTTGGCTGGCTGGGCACAATGGCTCACGCCTGTAATCCCAGCACTTTGGGAGGCCGAGGCAGGTAGATCATGAGGTCAGGAGTTTCAGACTAGTTTGGTCATCATGGTGAAACCCTGTCTCTACTAAAAATACAAAAAATTATCCAGGCATGGTGGTGCACGCCTGTAATCCCAGCTACTCAGGAGGCTGAGGCAGGAGAATTGCTTGAACTGGGGAGGTGGAGGTTGCAGTGAGCTGAGATAGCGTCACTGCATTCCAGCCTCGGTGACAGAGCAAGACTTCGTGTCAAAAAAAAAAAAGAGAAGAAAGGTTTCGGCTAAGATAAGAAACTCCTTTACAAGAAATCTTGCTAAATCCAATTTGCTTGCAAAACCGTATCTATTTTCAGATTACTATAATATGAAGGAAAAAAAATTCTCCAACAAATGCACATTGCAAAAAATGATACATGTTTATTCCATTAAAATAGTGGTTCTCAACTCTGGCTGTCTTAGAATCCATAGGGGAGCTTTTTAAAACAACGCCAATGCTCCAAGCCATACCCAAGATACTCTGATTTTACTGAGCTGGTGTGGAGCCCACTCTCTGGTGTGTATGTATGTGTTTTAGGTTCCCCGGGTGACTCTAATGTGCAGCCAGGGTTGAGAACCACTGAACTACAAATTTACATTACATATTAAGCAATATTCATTACAGGGCATAACTTGGACTATCTTATAAGGTAACCATGGTAGACAGAGTTGAAAGAAATAAAAATAATGCTTTCATGGGAACATTATGTAATAACTGCAGGGCTGAATAACACTGCAGTTAAGTACATGGTTCACACTTCAAGGACATTTGAAACACACAAATTTGGTAATGTTGGAAATCCAGGAGCCAATGTCTCACCACACACTATTAGGCCATTGGCTCTTCCTCCCTGGACTAGTTGCCCATGTCTTAACAAACCTTTATAAAAGAAGTATTCAGTAACCTCTTTGCTTATTCATTCTGACTCTTCTCCCAGTAGTTCATCGCTGGAAAGTCCAGAGGAAGAAGTTTAGCAATTTCAAATGAGGAAATGTTTAATTTTGCAGTTTAGTGCACTCAGTGCTCATGAAAAGAAAAATGTAGCATTTTGATAGGTAAGATACTTGCATAGGTAAACCTACAAAAGAGAGTACCTAGATATTAAATGTATTGGCAAGTCATAGCT